CCATTGTGGTGGAAGACAGACGTTTTTAAGACGTAGACAAGCTGTTTTTTTGGAGCACTTTATTTAGATGAACTTTAGTATTGATGCACTTTTGAAGCACAGGACACTTTATATGCATACATAATTTTTTTTGCACATGAAGATGAATTGTTATATATGTGATGATTTATGAATTTTGTATATATATGTGGTTGTGTTAAGTGGCATGCATAGAGACCATTTCATTTATGCTTTATTTGGTTAATGACATCTCCCAAGTGTCCCTCATTTGAAAGGACTCTTCCTCCTTCTGAAACTCTTTCCTCCTAAGTTGTCCCTGTATTTGACATGAACCTATCACCCAATATCTAAATGATTTAGTTTGTTGTTTTTATAAAGCCAGGTTGTGATTAAAGTGATTGCAAGCCCTCAGCTTGTAAAACAGCTCACTCTGAAATGAAAGGCAAAACATTTTTGTATAGATGCAAACAAATAATACATACCTTTTTTCTCTTTTTTTTATAAATGATCAAATACCCTCTGTATGTGGAGAAGGAGAAACAGCAGCACACTGATCTTTCCAGTGAATGGCTGTGCAGGGTGTGTCAGGACAAATTTGATTATTGGAGGAGAGCAGGCTGAGTTCCCAGCACAGCTAAAAAACTGACCACACCATGCTCTCATGCCTAGTGTGGTCAGTTTTTAATACGGAAAGAGAGGGACTGGCAGGAACACCAGGAATGCAACATAAAGGAAGCAATACAAAGAGAGCACATATTGTGCTGACGTCGCTAACGCCTGTGTGGAGCCAGCACCTGCGGAATTTATTACTTTCATGCTTGTTTGTCTTTGAAGCGTGTAAGTGGCTCTTTATTTAATAAATCATTTGTACGTTGTCACACTATCTGGAGTATTATCCTTTTTGACAGAGTACACAGCAGCATCACAATAAAGGAGGGATGAGGAGGAGAGATACCGAAGTCTGTGACACCATCTAGGATGTTCAGCATCTGCTCTGTTAGACCACCTATAATCTGGGGTCTAACTATTCGGTAAGGAGCAGTGTGTTGTTAGTGGTGCTGGGCACGAGAGTCTCTCCTTCACTACACACGTGGAGGATTATTGTGGACATGGCTGTTCATTATAATCGGAATTTTGTCATCAAGAGACTTTTTTATTGTTTGGTGATTCATGCATTTTGACATAATAATATTGTTTAGAATACATTTAAAGTATAAGTGACTCACTATTAGTATATTTTTTTACCAGCAGTGCAACAATAAGGCTAGGTTCACACCTATGCAGTTTCGGTGATCCGTTACTGCAGTACTTTTTTGTGGTGCATTCTGTGTTTTGCGCATGCATTTTTGATTCATTTTGCATTTTTTTTAGCCAGCTTGTTGCTGGGCAGATTAAAAACATAAAACATAAAATGCAAAACACATCAAAAATGTGTCAAAAACACACCAAAAATGGACACAGAACAATAAGGCTAGGTTCACACCTATGCAGTTTCGTTTGATCCATTACTGCAGTGCTTTTTGGGTTGCATTTTGTGTTTTGTGCATGCATTTTTGACGCCTTTTTGATGCATCTTGCATTTTTTTTGGCCAGCTTGTTGCTGGGAAGATTAAAAACATAAAACGCATAAAACATAAAATGCAAAACACATCAAAAACATGTCAAAACAAACCAAAAATGCACGCAGAACGCATCACTTGTGTTATATATGCGGTTCCATTGAAGTCTATTGGACTAAAAACACAAACTGCTGCGGGAAGTCCCTGACCCTTTCCTAAAAACACGCTCGCAAAAACTTGCATTGATGGCATGCACTGCGTTCCTGCAAAAACGCGTAGAAAAATGAAGAGGTGTGAACCTGGCCTAACTGGATATCACAAAGAGAACAGGATACATTTTACAAGTACATGGTACAGCAGACACATAGCAGGAATATAAAATCTGGGGGTTTACATATTCTTTATCAGCCAAGGTCTATCGGAGACCCATTGAACCTGCTTCTGAAGCACAGAGCCACCAGCACAAGAAATTGCTCTGTGACAGCATTGTGTATCAATGCCTTTATCTGAAAGTAGCAGAGGAAGGAGTTTCTGTACAGCTTTGTATCACTGTGTGTAAGGATACTCATAATAATGCATGCAGTAATACGCTGCCCCATCTTCTTCTTGTGTTGCTCTAATTGGCAGAGTGTAGTAAGTGTAAGATTTGCCAATGAAGGGACTCCGGTGTACAGTTTACTTGCATCATCTGGTACCAGACAAAATAGTTTGATGTAGAAGAACTAACAAGTGTAAGGAGATCCATCACTCCTGCCAGTGAACCGGTCTGGAACTCTTGTGTGTCGGGTGGTTGCACCATAGATGAGACGTGTTGGGGACTTTCCTGATTTCTGTTGGTACCAGGCTAAGCTGCCATAAATACCAGCACTGAATGTACATGTGATGGTGATTGTCTGCCCCGGGGACACAGAGATAGAATCCGGAGTCTGAGTCATCACAATCTCTCCACAGGATCCTGAGGATGGGAAGAGACATATTGATTATTGATCAATGTCTGGATATCTTCCTATCAATCCTGATGTGTGTATTTATTGTACAATGTATAGATGTATGTGCAGAGGAGGATGGAAGGAGCCTCATCTCTCACCCTGAATAGAAATGAAGATGACAGCCAGCAGATAACTGGGAGAAAGCATCTTGATGTTTCTGGAGGGTCAGATCCAAACTAGAAGACGTCTCCTGTACAATGAGATATATAGAGAGAGTGACAGGGGAGGTGTTCCCCCCACACAGCTGCAGGCATCCACACAGCATGTTTTTTCAGTGGGTGATGAAGATTTTGTAAAATGACCTGTCAGTGATGTCACATCCCATTATTACATTTATTATCACCTTTTTATACACAGTCTCCAGGAGTACACTATAGATTACATGTCAATAACAGAGGAATAATCAATCAGGACAAGCGGATGATCTAGCTTCTCACCTCAGAAATACACTAAAACCTTCATATTGGAAGAAACAATCGTCCCCTCCCCCTCCTTAGCAGTATTCTGTCTGGTAGAAACTGACCGCTGAATGGACATGACCAGGGGGCAAAAATCCAAGAAAAGTCCCATATTGTAACAGAGGAAACAGATCTGTATGGAGAAGTCAGAGCTCTCCATGTCCATGGAAGGGACTGATAGGTCATTCAATAATTGCTATACAATCTCATATTCTGCGATGGAAATGTGTGCCGGGTCGTTTTGGTAAATGATGTCACCATATAGAGGAACACCTGTTAGGATGACATCATAATCAGAGTGTTTCCTAGTGGTGTATCCCGAGGTGATACATGTCTGCTTTAGTCTGAATAATATTCTGTATATGACCACATTTTTCTGTTCCTGTATTCATTTCTCTGTCTGGTCACAGCCCCGCCCCCTGAGCAGGTCCAGATTTATATTCTCCAAAGTCATTATTATTGCTCCCCCCCCCCCCCCCTATGATCACAGATCTTGGCAGCCATTCACTCCTCAGTATAAATAAGTGAAAGTTTCATCTGAAATATTGTTATCTCCCTATATTTTGTTCCTGAATAGAAAATAATGAAACAAGAGATATTTCCTCAAGAAATGTTTGTCTTCCTAATTATTGGTCTTTTATGACCTTCACAAACACAAAAATCAGCCTTGTTTAAGGCTCTTTCACAGGGCTGGGAGCAACTACCACCCTCTGAAAAGCATTGGATTGTCATTCAGAGGGCAGTATAGCTGCAGCTACCAGGCATTCAGGAGCCAATCCTGCCACCTCCTGAATGTATGTTTTTTTTTTTTTAAATCCCAGGTGAATTTTGCTTTAAAACACTGCACTGCAAATGCTCGGCTTGTGGTTGTGGCACGCTCCCATTAAATTTAATGGTCATGTTTGACTGGCTGTGTCACCTATCAGACTCTGATAGCTGAGCTAAAATTGCCACGGCCACAAAGGAACACAGCAGGACCACGCCATGTGTACAGCCCCAACTGGGTGTAATGGTAGAATTTAGGTGGGAGGTTAAAGGAGATAAAACACTTTTATCTCCACCCCCAGTGCTTGAAACATGTTACTGTTAGAGCTTATTTTTAACTGTTATGAACCCCAGGAAATGTGTGATGAATGAAGCATTTACTTCTGTTTTTGCATTTCAACTCAATTTCTGTAGTCCGGGGAAAAACTCCCTCTGTGAGTCTGATGTGCATTTCACCTAAGCGGTCATTGCAGGTAATGACAACCCCAAACAGGATACATACATAGGGATTGATTTACTAAAAGCAAATAGACTGTGCACTTTGCAAAGTGCAGATATACTCTGCAAGTGCAGTTGCTCCAGAGCTTAAATGAGGTAAAGCTTCATTTTGAAAAGAATACCCAATCACGTGCAAGAAAAATTAAAAAAAAAAAGCATTTTTGTTTGCACATGATTGGATGATGGAAGTCAGCAGAGCTTCTGTTCATTTACAAAGCTCTGGAACAACTGCACTTGCAAAGTGCTCAGTCTATTTGGCTTTAGTAAATCTTCCCCATACTTAGTTTATTCCTGGAACTGGAAGTAGGAAAAATCTCAAAGACCACCAGTAGATGGCAGTATCAGTCCATTATTTTATGTCCTATAGGGATAAGGTAGGGAATATCAGTGAGTAGAGACATGTACACACAGGGATGGGTTTGGCAGGTATATGCTCCAGGGTAGGGATATGTTCAGGTTCAGGTGGAATCTGAGTTGGACCAGAACATAGTCTGTCCAGGGTCTGGGGGATGGGGGAACTTATGGTCCAGATTTGGGCAGATCACTCGCTCGACCCCAACAATCCCTGGCCACTTTGTTCACTAACAGAAGCTGAATTCTCTGCACATTTCCAGTAAGTAAAATTGCCAACATGATTAATAATAATCTTCCTAACAATCACAATGAACATAGACGTTTATTACATGTGTGTGACTGAATGTTCCCGGTGTGACATCTGTGATTGTGTTTCTTCATAAAAGAGGAAGGAGGTTTTTGTACGGCTCTGTATCACTGTGAGACCAGCTGTTATACTGCTGACAGAGATATCCTCCTTCATCATCTTCAGTCACAGCAGTAATTGTCAGAGTGTAACGAGTGTAAGGAGATCCATCACTCCTGCCAGTGAACCGGTCTGGGACTCCTGTGTGTCGGTTGGCTGCACCATAGATGAGAAGTGTTGGGGACTTTCCTGATTTCTGTTGGTACCAGGCTATATTATTCCCTGTGCTAGCACTGGATGTACATATGATGGTGATTGTCTGTCCCAGGGACACAGAGATAGAATCCGGAGTCTGAGTCATCACAATCTCTCCACAGGATCCTGAGGATGGGAAGAGACATATTGATTATTGATCAATGTCTGGATATCTTCCTATCAATCCTGATGTGTGTATTTATTGTACAATGTATAGATGTATGTGCAGAGGAGGATGGAAGGAGCCTCATCTCTCACCCTGAATAGAAATGAAGATGACAGCCAGCAGATAACTGGGAGAAAGCATCTTGATGTTTCTGGAGGGTCAGATCCAAACTAGAAGACGTCTCCTGTACAATGAGATATATAGAGAGAGTGACAGGGGAGGTGTTCCCCCCACACACTGTGTATGCAAATACCGGGGAGATGGAAATGAGAATTCTCAGATCAGTGATCTGTGCTAGAAACACTCAAATGAAGTTGAACGTTATCTGAGAAGGCTAAAACATTGAATTCTATTTTTGCATTTATTTTCCCATTCTCCCTATGAAATAGATAATTATAGGGGTTATCTAAATCAGATTTACATCCTTACATCATTTTGCAGTTTAGCCAGTTGCCCTCCCATAGGATTTACCCCCCCTTAAAGACCAGGCCATATATTGCGCTGTGTTATTTAACTGACAATTGCGCGGTCATGCAATTCTGCACCCAAATAAAATTTACGTCCTTTTGTTCCCACCAATAGAGCTTTCTTTCTATTTTCTGTTTTCTATTTGGGACTGTTGTAGTTCACTTTGGGACTTTTTTCACTTATTTATATAGTTTTGCAACTTTTTCCATTTTTGATTGCATGATATTTATTCACTTCACATGCGGGGGGGGGCTTTTTAATTTTACAGGTAAAAAAGAGATGCTAGCATGGCGATACAACATATTGTAGTGACAAGTGTGACCTAGTAATGATAAATGGCGCACAGGTGGGTCAGTCCAGAGACCGGTATTCAAGATGGCAGACAATAGTGTTAGTGAGTGCATGGAACAACGTGTGGGGGATGAATTTCCTTGTGAACGAAGGTGTAAAATCCAAGGATATCTACAGGAGACTTCCAGCACAGTCCGGTGATGAGACGCTCAGCCATAAGACATTTTAATGGTGTAAAAGTTCCATAGATGGCCGTACGTGGGTCAGTGATGATCCCGGCCATGGTGATTCCCAGCCCACAGAAGTCATTCCTGTGAACATTCAGTGCCTGGAACGCAGGATCCTGGATAATTGATGCATAACCTGCCTTGAAATCAGACTAATCAGCATTTCAGGACTGATGTTGAAGTGAAGTAGTCTATCCTAGGACGGTTCAGGCGTACTGACAAATCTTTTTATGTCAATGCTTTCCAGGCATTAGGTAAACACTAGGATACATACACTCTTCCTACCACTCCATCCCCCACAGCTATTTCCTCCTGTACCACTTTCCCCTCCCTCCTAGATTGTAAGCTCCAAGGAGCAGGACCCTCCAACCCCTCGTGTATCGCATTGTATTGTTATTGTACTGTCGCATGTACTGTCCCCCATTGTAATGTACAGCGCTGAGTGAACTGTTGGCGCTTTATAAATACTGTATAATAATAATAATAATACATGTAGCAGGGGAGTATGTAAAAAAAATAAATTAAGTTTCCACTCCTTGTTCTTTTATTATATAAACTCAAATTCCCGGTTTGACTTATTTATAAAAATATAATTTACTAATTTTTCACAATTTTTATACACATATCGTTTTGGAGAATTGATTGTGCACGTGTTGTTTTAGATTATGAGACCTTGTGATTGATTAGCACCTAGGATTCTTGTTGGGGTAGTAATATTAAGGTGCAAATAGAGCTTTTGGGGTAAAGAGAGAGCACTGCACTTCATTTATTTGGATTGATTGTGTGAAACACATTGTGGTATTAGCTGCTCTCAGCGTGTTATCTTGGATTAAGGTAAGCAGTGTGGGAGTTCTGAATGGTCATAGTTAAAGAGGAACTTCACTCTCTCAATCAGCATGGACTATTTCTGATCCTAATTCTTTTAGCATTAGTACATAGATAGGAAAGGAAATCATATTTACTTGTTTTAACCATTTTTTTTGCATTCCTTCATTTACTTCCTGGTTTTGATGCCTAGGCAAATGATGTCACACATCCCAGGAGTCTCCAGGAGGGGAGGGAGGGTTCTCAGCCGATGCCTGAGCTAAGGATAGATGGATTCCCAGAAGTAACTACTTCATGAATCATCTGCACTTACTCAAGATGGCCACTGTCAGAAATGCCAGGAGGTGTTTTTCAAAATGATTTCTCAGCAAAATAAAGCATGGAGACATGGATGGATGGAGGAGTTTGTTTTGAGTATTAATAAGGAATGATATAGCATTTTTGGTTTGTGGTGCTCAGATGCAATGCAGTCCCACTTTACGTTTTGTATGTTGGAATGCAAACTCTACTACACTACATTATCTGCCAGGGCCGTATCATGTGTTTACTGACTTGTACCATTGAGTACCAAGACAAGAGCGTTGTAATGTTTTATTGTAATGTGTATGTAAATCAAAAACAATAAAAACATCTTTTAAAAAAAGAAGAAAAAAATAAATAAAGTGGCTGATTATTGGTTTCCACTAACTCAACATATAAAATTGAAAATACTAACTGCAACATACAAAGCCATCCACAACACTGCCCCTAGCTACATCACCAATCTCATCCACCGATATTGTCCAAACTGTCCTCTCCACTCATCCAAATACATCTTGCTCTCTAGCTCCCTCATCACCTCCTTCCATGCTCACCTCCAAGACTTCTCCAGAGCCTCTCACATCCTCTGGAACTCCCTACCCCAGTATGTCCGGTCAACCCCCACCCTGTCTGCCTTTAGGCAACCGTTGAAAACTCACTTATTCAAGGAAGCCTACCCCACCTCCACCTAAGAACTGTACTTGAGTCACCTCCATCAGATCATTGCCCGCAACTATCACCTTTTGTAACACCTCCCCCTTCCTTTATAATGTAAGCTCCATGAGCCGGGCCCTCCTATTCCTTCTGTACTGAAATCTATTGTAATTGTATTGTCTCCCTTTATAAGCACTATGCTAACTGTTGGTGCTATATAAATCCTGTATAATAATAATAATAATAATAATTAATCAACTGTTTGCAATCGCAAATTAGTTACAGGATAGAATTTCCAGCATTGGTCCAGTCCACTTGGTCAGGTCCATGATTATAGACATTCCAGAATGCTTGTCCTCAACCTTTATGATGTGAATACATTTGCAAATTAATTTTTTTCTCATAAATATAACACAAGTTAAAATTCACAAAGAAGACTTGTAATAGCAACATGTGGCCACTAGATGGTAGAATATCATGTAAAATTGATGACTGTCAAACAATGTATCAAAATAATATTTGGAACAATTTTATCAGAAATGTATTAGATATGGAAAGGAAGTGACTATAGGAAGGTGACAGATAATACAATTATATGAATATAAATAATGAATAATGAAATACTATAATAAAATGACCACGAAGAGTAAAAAAAATGTAGAAAAAATAATAAGAATGAAATATACTAGAAGATTGTTAGGATAATACAAAGCAATCTGAATGCATTACAACTACATTTATAAAGTCAAAATAAATAGAGAGTATACTGATGGCAAACTAGTGATAAAGAAACACTGAAGAAAGGCCCTAATAATACAGTGGGACCTCGCTCTCTCAAGTAACATGGAGGATTTGGGATCCTTATGCTGCTAGCATTTGTACAAAGATAGGAAAGTGTATTATATTTGTTTGTTTAAAAAAAAAAAATTCACATTTCTTCAGTTACTTCCTGCTTTCCATGACTAGGCAAAATATGTCATACAATATGTCCCAGGAGGCTCCAGAAGGGGAGGAGGAGTTTTCTCAGCTAAGCACACCCCCTCTCTGCATGTCTGTGCTAAGGGAAGATGGATTCCAGGAAATAAATGCTACATGAATCATTTCCCCTTACTCAAGATTGCCACATCCAGAACAATTAGGGGATGTTTTTCAAAGTGATTTCTCATCAAAATAAAGCATGGAGACATGGATGGATGGGCAAGTTTGCTCTGAATACAAAAAAAAATAATTAAATTACCCCGTCCCAACCACAGTCATTAGTACAGGGACAGTGTATAATATTATCACTGATCACTGTATTAATGTCACTGGTGATGTCAGTGGCAGTTAGTCAGTTCTCCTCCAGCATTAGTTAGTATCAGATTGCCCGCCACACTATTGCAGTCCCATTATAAGACACTGATCACAGATATTAGTAGTTTAAAAAAATAAATAATAATATAATAATTCCAGCATACTGTATATACCATACTATGTAGGTGCTATAACATTCACGCAAATCAATCAATATACACTTATTGGGATTTTTTTATCAAAGGGACGTAGAATAAATTTTGGCCAAAATTTATCAAGAAATTAGATTTTTTAACATTTTTATTAGAAATGTTTTATAGCAGAAAGTAAATAATATATATTTTTTGTTCAAAATGTTTTTTTTTTGTTTTTTTTTTGTTTTTTTTTTGTTTATATTGCAAAAAATAAAAAAAGCAGTGGTGATCAAATACTACCAAAAGAAAGCTCTATTTGTGTAAAAACAATGATCTAAATTTAATTTGGGTACAGCGCTGCATGACTGCGGAATTACTAGTTATAAGATAGGTTCACCTTTTGATAAAAAAAATAATAAAGGCACTTTTTTTGGTAGTAAAAAATGTGCATTTATTATTTTTTGGTTGCAGGAGCCTATAAAGCATTGCACAGCAGATCTCTGGTGCCATGTAGGTCTCCTGCAGACCTGTCACTATATCTGCTTGCCCGTATGGGATGTATGGACAGATATACTGACAGGAGGAATCAATGAGATACCAGAG